ACATGTTTATTTATTTAAGTTAACTTGCTATGGTTAATTAAATAAATTGGATTTAAGAGATTATGTAATAAAATCATATGGTTTTGACATGATATGATTTCACGTATATGTATAAGTATTTTGGTACCCGCATATCTTCTAATGTTTTAATATGAGATTGCTTGGTGGGCTAGTGATTGCTCACCCCCTACTTGTACATGTGTACAGGGAATGTTTTTCGGATTTGAAAATTAAACAATGGGTTTTATCATTTCATAAGTGTAATGTAGTGATGGATTGTACTACTTCATTTGTTGTTTGGCTGAATGCTATTTTTTTTTTTATAAAGAGTAGTGTCCTCTCTTTTATTGTAAGTCTCAGGGCATTTCTTTTATTTGTATGTAAATGTCATTATTGTATAACGACAGGGAATATGTATATTTAATTATTCATCATTTCATCCAAGGATGAAATGTTATTTGTAAATGGACTTAATTAATGAATATTGGTAATGTTATCTGAATAATAAAATACGAGGCTTGACAGACAGTAGGAGCCATCATCCCACATCTAAATTGGAAGAAATTGAAAGCAGAATTCCAAAAAAAAAGAGCAACAGGTATTAAAAATTGGTCCTCCGAAATGGTGAACCTGGACAGTTGAAGCGCGTCGAAGAGGCAAAGTTCTTGAAGATCTAGTGTCCTAGCAGGGACGACCCAATCAAACCATTCCTCTCATTCTGGTCTTACTGTGGGCTAGCAGTGATGGGATCAGTTCACTCTCCAGTTTTCCCAATCAAGACCGCCTTCATAAAGGAAGCAATGATTCTCCAAATGCGGGTACAGAGCTGAAAGTTGAGTAGGGACCTCTTTAAAGATAGGTCCAAGTACATATTCCTATTGTTCATGGCGATGTGGAATGAAAATACGCCCATCAATAGTACTATCACGATCCAAACCCGCCCCTATAGATTTAGCATCGTAACCGGCCAGTAATCATTGGATTACCGAAGGCCTCTTAACAATTAGACTTACAATTAGGGGCTGCGGAAGTAAATACATAAAAAGAAGTATACATAGTCCATCGAGTTGTGCAGACATATATGGGACTGATTATCTTAAACTTTTATAGACATATGAGTGACGTCAAAAGATACAGTATTTACACGTCACTTCATGTATATATAAAAGAAAAACTTGTCCATGGAGCAAAAGGAACAGTCTTATACATCCATAATAACACAGTCACAAAACTTGACTTGATCTGGAACCTCCTCGTGAGGTGCAAAAGGTGGCTGACAAATACAAAAAAAAGCTTTAGGCATCATCTTAAGCCTGATCACGAGTCTGCTCACCTACATATATAATAAATAACTAGTGAGCGAAGGCCTAGTGAACAATAACAAAGTAAAGGGGTAAATGAATGGTGTTCCATAACCATTTTTGAAACCAAAGTTTACGTTCGTATTCTCATTCTGTGCATATATAAAAATCAGAGTTCATGCTTAATCTTACATAGTGCATCCGTTAGCGCTAACAGATCATATACAGAGTATCATAAATCATACTTGTCAGTTCTATAGAAGAACCTCCGGCCGGGTAAAGATAACTTGTCAATTCCATAAAGAAACCTTCGGACTGGGAACAGATAACTTGTCAATTCCACCTAGGAACCTCCAGTCAGGTACAAATAGCTTGTCAGTTCCATAAGGAACCTCCGGTCTCGGGAACTTGTAACATACTTGAATCATAGCATAATGTCACAAATGCTTGTTAGAGTTGGACAATCATTCAAAGTATAAAACATGGCATTTCATCGAACAGATCTCATTCCATATACAGAAAATAATTTACTTGAACATAGCTTTACTAAGTTATTACTCACAAATAATAGATGCTCCAAGTAAACAAACAGAGTAGGCAATTCAACTTCCTTGTGGCGCGTGACCTATACAGCATAACAGATACTTACATTGAAACGCACATTCGGATTATACATAACTTATTTCATTTGTTCTTAGTGTGTTTCTACCTTTTATCCTCATTACGGTGTCTTAATCTTGGCCTAGGAATGCTTAGAAAAAAATGAGGATGCAAAATTGCACTTGAAAATATTTTTCAAAACTTGCTGAAAACAGGGTCCACGCTCGAGCGTAGTTTTCCTCGCTTGAGCGGACATGCAAAATGTGAGGGTTCACTCGAACGTAACTTCCTTCGGTCGAGTGGTTTGTAAACTTTGAAAAATTACTGGTTGCTTGTCTTTCACGCTCGACGGATGATCGAAAACCCTCGCTCAAGTGTGAGACTCAGACTCTCGCTCAAGCGTGACTCTTGTCGCTCGAGCGTACTGCAAAACATAAGAACTTTTGGGGGCTTGCATTTCATGCTTGAGCGTTCTTCAGGTTGCTCGAGCAGAAGTGCATGCATTCAAAGTGGTCACTCGAGCGTGAGATCCTATTCTCGATTGTAGGTGCAAATTCTAGAATTTCCAGATTAATTCTCCAAGTTCAAAACTCAATCTTTAAACATCAAAACTTGATTTTTTTGGGCCAAAACTCTAGAAAATGACTAAGAACTTGTAAAACATCATGGATTAAAATTCATTTCAAGAAATCAAGGCCCAATAGCTTGCTAATTGTGCAAAAATTCAACTCAAAATTTATGAATGCTCCTTGAACATGACATGCATGAAATGATTTGAGCTTCAAGTTTCCAAATCATGATCAAATGAAATGAGAGGATGTAAAACATGATGAATTCCTACAACTAAGCTCAATTTATTACATGTATGAGAGAATTTTCTAGTAAACATACTCCAAATGTAATGCAGTGTACATGCTTGTATGAAATGATCCTCTATTCCACTTTTAAGCTTGATTCCTACATCTCTTGGTTCAATTCTCTTCAATTCATGTACGATGTGGCTTAATCTCAAAGTTTAAGGGTTGAACTCTTACCTTCAATGGCCAATCACACTCCCAATAGTCAATATTTGAAGTCTCAAGCCAAACCTTCCAAATTCTCATACAATTTTTCTAAGATGAGTTCAATTTTTCTCTTCTCTCTCTCTCCTCCACGTTTAATCTCTTAGGGGTTCAAAGATGATGATAAAAAGGGGGTTCAAATGGAGTGCATAAGCCTTATATAGGCTTGGATTAAGAACTTGTTTAATTAGGCTTAGTTGGGCATTAAATTATTCTAATTGAATCGTTCCGACTCGAATTTTGATTATACCTACCATAAATTCCTAAAAATTCTAAATAACACGTAACCGAAGTCAATTTCTGAATCGGATGCTGTTAAGGCCTTCAATTCACAAATCAAAATAGAATTATAAACATATTTTCTTACGCTAAACAGATAGAAACAAATATAAGGCAACATGTGATGCAAAACTTCACTTTAATCCTTTATTAGACATAATTAAGCATGGATTAACGTTAATTATAGATCGGGGTTATTACAAGCACTTTTCTCACTAGCCTTGTATTTCTCGCACTCTTCAGCAATGATCCTTTTTAAGGCTACAAATGGACTCACACGCTCCACGACTGGTATCTTCGAGAAGGAAGAAGCCATTGGCATGAGTTTTCAGAAGATGAAGTTGAGAAAGAGGGTAAAGGAAAGGAGAAGTCAATAGAGATGAATGGTTTGTGTGTTGGGCGAGCAAGTAAATTAAAAGCACGAATGAAAGGGTTTTTAAACCTTTATGTCCAAAAAATGCCCAATCGTTTTAAATGGGTAGAATTTATAATTTTAATTATTAATATTTAAAAAATTTTAAGGATTTTTTTATTTTATTTTTTACATATTCATTAAAAAAATTATAATTATAATTATTAATATTTTTTAAAAAAATTATTGATTTGTAATTATTTTTGCAAAAATTCAGTATGTAATATTTCTTTCTTTTCTTTTATTAAGCATTTTTTAAATACACAAAATTCATATTTTTATTTGATTGAATCATGTGTACATTTCTTTACCCACTGTTGGCTGTATAATTTGTATAAGCCAATCACAATTCAATACGTGACATGAAATGGACAATTTGGGGAGATAATACAAAGTGCCAACCATAGTCAGACACGTGTCAACCCACATTGGTAATAATGGGTCTGCGTAGCATTGGAATGATCGAGGGATATAAGGTGATGTGGTCTAACGGCTACTCACAAGGTTCAAATTCAAAATCAGGAGGGAAACCTAACTACAAACATGGCGTAGTGGGACTGACTTTGAAAGAGCATGTTTAGTGATCACGGAGGGACATTTCGACAATTAGGAGCCTACTTCGTCGGTTATCATTGAGAAGTATAAATAACAGAGAAGGTCCTAGAAAAGAGGAACTAGACTCAGATCAAAAAATTAGTTTTATCTACTTTATTTTCCTTTCAAGTTTTTACAGTTCTTTATATTTCTGTACTTCAAATTCCTGTATTTCACTTCGTTCATAGGAGTAATTTCAAATAGTTTATTGTTGTAAACCTCTACGAGGTCAGGTCAGATCATTGTAAGTTTTTCATTTTTACTTAATGAAATTCTGTGATTTTCTTTATTTAATTGTTGTTTACTAAATTTCCTAAATAAGCCACCAATAAAAATCCTCTTCATTAAGACTAAAAGAATTAAAACATAATTGTCTGATAATTAGTTGATAATTAATTTTTTATAAAGACTGATTGATTCTTACTGACACGCATAAATTACAATACTAACTTTTCAAAGCCAAAAAAACCAACATTCATCCAACTCTATTAAATTATCATAAATGTGGTGTGAAGTTCATATATAAAAGAATCGGAGCCATAAATTGATAATTCTGAATAAAATTACTCATTTCAATAGTACCTTTCATAACCTCAACATTAATTTGCTTTTATTTCAAGGAAAAATTACTTTGACACAGTATCAGATAAATATATTTATTCAGAAGTGAAAAATATTTAAATATTAATAATTAATATTATAAATTTTTTAATTAATTTGTTTTTTTTTTTTTTTTTTGGGGTTTATAATTTTCCCTAAATCAATCCCCTCCAAAGTTCACAACCCAAGCTGAAACGGAAAAGTGGTGGAGCTCAACCAACTACTACCACCAACAAACGTTGCCGCCGCGTACGGCTGAGCATCCACCGCACTCGTAAGAACCTTAAACCCAGCCCACTTCACTCTCCCACTGGTCCCAGCCCCAGCCCCACTATTCTGATACTCCCTATACTCCAGAGTACTGAGAGCAAAGTTTCCATTCCACTCGTGCCATCCAGCAGGGTCAATCACATCGCTGATCGTTGATTGCATGAAGATCGTCCTCGAATACTCCTTCCATGGGCGACCCAGGTAGGTAGGGAAGTTGGTCTTGACGGGTTTGAGATCGGCAGTGGCATCGATTCGGCATTTCTGGATTACGATTCCGGTGTTTTGGTTTTTGTCGATGCGGCCTTGCGCGGTGAGCATGTTTTTTTGGCCGGCGTCGGGTTTCCGAGCGTGGATGTCGCAGTCTTGGAATAACGCCGCCGCGTTGCCGAATATGAAATCTACAGTCCCTGTAATTCATACATACAAATTACAAAATTTATATATTGTAAATAGAGGGACTATCACAAAATAATGATGAGTAATATTTAGAATATCAAAATTTTTACGAAATATTTCACTACATGTCTCATATGAGGTGGATCTTATATAAGTGTTGAGTCCACATTTATATTAAATATTTGATAAAAAATTTGAGGGCTTTAGTATTTTTCCAAAATAATTGCATCATACACAGAGGAGAATTGTATCATGATGAAAGTGTATTTTTTTTTTTTTTGTCACTGTTATATTGAAATACAATTTTTTCAAAGGGTTCAGACGGTTATCGGTTCAGATTTGAGACACTTTAGCCTTAGTTTGGCTCATTGGGCCTATTTTTGGTCTCTCTTTGGATAATCAGAACCATTCACGTTTTAAAATTTACTGGTTACATTTTATCTATAAAAAAAATCATATTGATCGGAAAACGGATACTATGGGTGTGTTTGGTAACGTTTACATTTTCAGTTTATATTTACAAAAATTTTATAAACTGATTTTTGTTTATTTTTAGAAAAACATGAACTACAAACACGTTTGGTAATTGACAAAATATTTAAAACATTTTAAAAATATAAAAAAGAGTAAAAAATGGCAAGTGGTGGCAAGTGACGACGGAAGACGGTGGTGGAAAGTGATGACGGTAGGTGGTGGGTGGGGGGGGTGGGGGACAGTGGCGGGGGGGGGGGGGGGGGGGGGGGGGGGGGGGGGGGGGGGGGGGGGGGGGGGGGGGGGGGGGGGCGGGGGGGGGGGGGGGGGGGGGGGGGGGGGGGGGGATTCAAATCCAATCAAGGTTGGATGAAGGATTTTAACTTGAAGGGGCGAATGTTGCAAAGGGGATGAGTATTTAAAAATAATAATAATTATAAGTCAAACCTATATAAAAAATTGGAGGGATGTTGGTCTCCAACTGTCCTCTTTTTTTTATCGAAAGTCAATTGTTAGTTGTTAGATTAGTTCCTAGGAGAGTTGAAGCCCCAATCTCTCATTTGCAAGAACCTAAGTGTACCTCCATACCACTAGGCCATGGGCTCTCTACCTGTCCCTTTAGGGCCCTTTTCCCAAACTAAGCCCTTACACTATTTTATTTCCCAAACTAAGCTGAAACATGTTTACTAAACATGCTTTCAGTATTTTTGTGATCCAGACAAACAAAATAAACAAAATTATAAAAGCGTGTGAGAAAACACGCTTTTAATTAAGGTTGCGCGATTACAAATCGCGTGTTTACTAATTATCCTGTAAATTAATAAAACGCAATTGAAAAACACACAACATGAAAACGTGTTTTGAAAACACGCTTTCAATAAATAAATAAATAATTAATTAATTAATTTTACACCCACATCACACACACTCACACTCACACTCACACTCACACTCACACTCTTTTCTCTATGTCTCTCTATGTGACACACACTTACACCCATATCACTCGCACTCACATCACTCCACCCTCTCTTTCACACACATTCACACACTTATAATAAATAAATAAAAATAAAAATAATTAATTTTATTCATTATATTTATTTTCATAAGTTTTATATAATTTTATATATATATATATATATATATTTTAATTTTTTACTAAATTTCTCAATCAAACCTAACGCAAAAAAATAGAATCTCAAACAGGCACGACAAGTTACCTGCAATAAAGCAGTTGATGTAGAACTGGCGATTGGAGTGAACATAAAGAGTGTCTTGGTAAGCCACCATGTCACACCTATAGAACGCTGACAAATCTGACCCCACACGTAGTGCCACTGCTTGGTGCTTTGAGGGCCCCGCTGTGTTTTCGAACGTTATTTCCTTCGCCAGGAATCCTTCGCCAACTGCCGCTGCAAAAACCAACCCCACATGCTCATTTTTTGAAAAGCAGTTAAAAATTAATTTTTTAAAAAATATATAAAAAATAATTACCATATTTATTTCTACTTTTCAAAAAACACTTTTCAAAAAATTATATTCTCTTATTTTTCGTATTTTTTTATTTTACTGATTTTTTTTACTTTTTCGACACACCTAACATAAACACACTTAAAAAGTAAAAAAATTGAAAAAAAATATTTTAAAAATTTACTAAATATCAAAATACAAAAAAATACAAAAATTCAGTATATTTTTTATATTTTCATATATTTATTAATTTTTTAAAATATTTTTTTACGAATTTTTTACTTTTTAAATATATCTAAGTAAAGTGCATCTAAAAAAATAAAAAAAAATGTTTAAAATTTAAAAAATATTCACTAAAAACAAAAAAAAAAAACACAAAAACTAAAAAAATCAATTTTCAAAAAATTTAATCCAAAAAACTCAAACCAAAAATAGATTAAAACATCTTTTCAAAATAGTCTAATGTGAGCTCACTTTGTAACGGTAATTTTACGTAAAATTTAAAAAATATTCACTAAAAACAAAAAAACACAAAAACTAAAAAAGTCAATTTTCAAAAATTTAATCCAAAAAACTCAAACCAAAAATAGATTAAAACATCTTTTTAAAATAGTCTAATGTGAGCTCACTTTGTAACGGTAATTTTACGCCATTGATATTACTATAATTTACGTATTAAAAATTAGTTTCTTAGCTTTTTCTTAATAATTTTTTTAAAAAATAAATAGGTAATATAACTCAAAAGAAGTTAAAAGTAAAAAAACTGACTTTCAATCTCTTACCAAAAAATGCCTTACTATATATAGATTTCAATTTCATTATAATGACACAAAAATTATAACAATAATCGTGAGTGGTTATAATTAATTAGAATTTACTTAATCATGTGTTAAGTTATAATTAATTGATAATATCATACGTGCATTAAGACATGGTATCAACACACATTATACAATAACGAACCTGGAGCTGATGCTATTTCTTATAAGCACAATACTGTGTTGTGAGTCTTTGAAGACGTATCTCAAATTTATTTTAATAATCTGAATTGTACATAGTAAAGAATTTATTGAATAGATCATTCATGAAAAAATTGAAGTTAATTAAACATCTGTAATCTATAATAATACTACATTTATGTTTAAAAAAATAAATAATTAACATGTTTTTAATAATTTTTTAAGATTATTATTCAACTTGATCATGAAATTATATTTATCCTATTAAATTCATTTTTTATATAAATAATATACTGTTATATTTATCCTATTAAATTTATTTTTTATATAAAAATACACTTAACAAATTTTATAATTTGAATAATTTAACTTATTAAAATATAATCTAAATAAATCGCACGGATTGTGACGGGATAGGGTCAGTCACAACACCATTTTGTTGCTTTTCAATCATGTAATTAATCGCACGCCTAAATTAGCTCCAATATATCGGCAAAGAAATTTCTTTCAAAAAAAAAAGTGCTCGGGTTTTGTTTGGTGCAAACATGGTAAAAATAAAAAGGGTAAATTAAACTGATCCCCCGTCTTTAGAAAAAAGAAGGTAAACTTTATAATTTTAATATAGTTATATTAATTTATATTTTAATAAAATTAATTAAGTTAAAATTAATCCATACGGTACGAAGACTATGAGCTCAATATAATTATATTAAAATTACAAAATTTATTGTATTTTTTAAAATCTTAAAAGAGATTAGTATAATTTACTCAAATAAAAAATATAATTATCACATTTTTTATAATTTATCTAAGTTATTTTTGTCCAATAATGTATGAGTAAAGATTACACTAAATATAAATTTGTAAAAATAAAAACTATAATTGTATAGAGTATAAATAATGTGACAATACTGCATTCATTCTAGTGGAGCACATGTCCTATTCAAAATTAATAGTACCACCAACCAAGGATTTTGAACATTTTAAAAAAATTTGTTTCAGACAAAATACAGCATTTTCATTTTTTTTGTGTGAATATTTTAACCTACCCTCATGTACCAAACCAAACGAAACCACTCTCTGTTGTACGCGTTTCAATTGTTTGTACATTAATTTTGACAAATATTTTGAAAAGTAACATCCCAATTATTTGTAGGTCTTGTATATCTAACATGATGCAAAAAAGTCAATTGTTTGTAGATTATTTTTAACAATTATTTTGAAAAGTAGCCCGCAATTGAGGGAAGAACATCCCAATTACTTGTATGATAATCAAGACAGAAAATGTCTTGTATGTCTAACATGGTGCAAAAAAGTCAAATGACAATCACAAAAGAATATCATGAATAAAGGAAAAGTTATGCTCAGCTAGCTACGGTACACGACCAATATCTATACAAAAGAAATAATATTTACAATACGCATCTTATTAATTTTATTTTTTAAAAGAATATTGTTAATATTAAACAATCTCTTTTAACATTTGCTTAAATTGTAATAAGAACTGTGAGTTTCATTAAACAATGTCTCATTAGTATAGAACCTTGACAAACTTTAAACAATAACCTTAACTACAACCACCTAGCCATTGTTACTCATAAAAAGTCACTTTTTTAAAGTCAGGTTTCCATCAATTTTATTCACGTAAAAAGGTGAGAAAGACACACCGCTGCACACATTTCTCTAACTATACTACTAGCTCACAAAAAAATTTAATTTATTTTAAGGTAAATTATAAATATACTTCTTGAGTTTTACTTAAAATATAAATTATTTTCTGTGATTTAAGAAATTACAAATACACCATTGTCAAAAAAAATTTATTTAACAGAATTAATTAAAAAAAATAAAATTCATAATTGCTCTCATATACAATAATAAAATCACCTAAATTATTAATTGATTTTATGATTTATTAATAAAACGAGTAATTTATTATGAAATTAGAAACCTCAGGAGGTGTAATTAATTTTCAAAATCACAAAAATAATTTATATTTTAATCAAATTTCAAAAAATACATTAATAATTTACCCTTTATTTTATATCTTCAATCTAAATACTATTTCATTATTCCACTCAATCATTTATATACATAAGTTTCGTTAATCTAATCCGACAACTATGGCCTACATCTATTAGGCACTTCACTTTTTTTCTTAGTTGGGGGTGGAAGATGGAAGATTGCGAATTTGGAAGTATAGCTTTTTAAGTATTTTTTTTAAACAATTTTTAATATTATTGCTAAAGTAAAATATGCTTTTTTTTACAAAAAAAAAAAAAACTTGTTAAGGTCTTTTACATTTTAGAACCTATCTAAGCTAGAAGGTCCTAACTATCTAAGCTAGAAGGTCCTAAAAAAAATAAAAATAAAAGACAATTTTTGTTTTTTTTTTAAAAATAGACAAATAAATTCAAAGAAAGCAACAAGTGGCAATGCCGCAATGGCAAGACATGTGAATTTTGATCCTACGACAGGAAATCTGGAGAGAGAGCATGGTGATGGTGTACGAGCCATGAATAATTTGATCATTAAGAAACTAGCAGGAGGACCCACCTTTGGACCAATCATTCATCATGGCTCTGAAATTTCTCCGCAATAGGACATATTTTTTTTTAAAAAAAAATTAAAATTTGATCTTGTAATAAAATAAAATATAAATTTTATTTTTTAATTTATTTTCATTTTCAATCAATTGCTTACGCAAACTTAACAATAACAAAAAAAAAAAGGCATTTTATTGTCAATAAAACCAACAGAAAAAATAACATTTTAATCAATAAATTCAATGTAGATATACATAAAATGTTTACAATACTATTTTTCATTGAGTTTAATGACTAAAATATCATTTTTTGTCGATATTACTTATTAAAAATAGACAGATAATTTAAATTAAAAACAAATTAAAAGATCAAAATGTAAATTAACAAAAAGTCATCATTAATTTAGTTACAAGGTTAAATTTTTTTTCATAATTTCCTTTTTTTATATGTTGTATAGGCACAAAAATTTATACCAAAAAATAAATAAAAAAAAACAAAATAATATGAAAAGTCGTTATTCTATTACTTTAATATAAAAATTTATTAAGACGATTTCTATTTTTTTAAAATGTCACAATTACATTATTCTTGTCAATAATTCTATATAAAAAAAATCTATAAAAATATAATTTTAATTTTACATTTTCTTGCATAGTTGTCCCACACTAAAATGTTACTATTTCGTTTTTTGAGAGCACTATGTTTTTTTTTTGGTAGTGCGGCTTGAAACAAAAGGTTTTTGCATTCTTAAGGAATTTTAAAATCCTAGCTCTATAATTCTTACAGCCTATTTTGGGAAGTAAAAAAAAAAAAATTAAATAATTAACATTTAAATTTTTGTGGCATTTTTTTAAAAAATGTTAAAATAAAAATGAAAATATGATGTGATCTACGTAAGCCAATAAATATAAATATTAAAAGTGTGTTATAGGATAAAAAATAATAAAAATAAGACTAAAAAATATGTGTCAAAAATTTATTAATTGAGTGAGTGAATAATGAGACAATAAATATATTAAGGGTTGGTTTGGGATGTCCTAAAAAAGTGCACTTGTCTTTTTATGAAAAGATGTGCAAAAAAGTAGAGATGTGATGTGATGAAAAAAAGATAAAAAGATAAAAAGATAGATTATATAGGTTATGCCAAACCTAACCTAAGACGTGGGTTAAAAATATATATAAAATAATAAATAAAGTAAATAACAGTTAAAAAGTGCAATGGGCCCACCCCACCGCACTATGTCAGTCTCGCTTTCTCTTTTCTCTCTCTCTCTTTCCTTTCTTTTGTCTCTCTCTCGGCTGGCTAAATTGGTTGGTAACTGTGACCAGCTCCTTGCCATTGACATGTTTAATTGGGTTTTGCAATATTTGACCATTCTAAAATTTAGGAATGGTTTAGTATGTTCTGAATAAATGTATTTTTTAATTTTTTATAAAATATAAATTAAGTTTGAAGTGATATAGTAAAAAAGTAACATGATTTAAATAAAATAATATAATTTAAAGAAGGTAATGACTTTTTAATTTTTTAACTTTTATTAAAGATGTCAAACTCGTTTGGGAACAGATTAATTTAGTAACTTTTTGACTATTTGGCTAAAATATGAGCTAAAAAAAACTAGTATGTTTGGGATGACTTTTTGACTTTTTACGAAAAGATGTGCAAAAAGTAGAGAGAAAATAGAATCTTTGACTTTTTGGTATGAGTTGTTGACTTTTTAGCTAATTTAATAATTTTTTGACTTTTTAACTAAAAATAAAGGTTACCAAACGAGGCCTTAGTCCTAACATTAAAACATTGCTTAACATATCCACTATGATGTCCTAAAGACAAATTGTTTAGAAAAACTTTTTTCAAAAAAATATAAGAATTTATGCGTAAGTTTTAATAAATAAATTTAGGATTAATTACATTAATAGTCTTTATAATTTAGAAATTGTGTCATTTTTATCTTTGACTTTTTAATTGTGATATATTTGATTCTAAATTTTAAATCTTCTTCCAAATAAGGACATTTGAAAATATTATTAAATTTTTTAAGGGTAAAATCGTCAATTTGATAAAATATAAATTAATTTGACAAAAATAAATGTCAAAAAATCATTTTTAATTTTTTTAAAATTATTTTTATCCACCAATGTAAAATTATGTAAAAATTAATAAAAATTACATGATTAATTTTTTTAAATTAATTTTACATGATCATCATCTTAACACATAATAAAAATTAATTTGGTAAAAAAAATATATAAAAAATTTATCAATTTTACATAATTTTATTTTTAGTAGGTAAAAATAATTTTTAAAAATTAAAAAATATTTGTTTGACATTTATTTTTATCAAATTAATTTATATTTTATCAAATTGACAATTTTACATTTGAAAAATCTAATTATATATTCAATTGTTCTTATTTGGAACAAAATTCAAAATTCAAGATCAAATATGTCATAATTGAAAAGTCAAGAACCAAAGTGGTACAAGACCCAAACTATAGGGACTATTTGTGTAATTTACTTATAAATTTATTATCTAATAAATTTTATAAAAATTAATAACATTTTCCACCGATCACTATTAGAAACGTCACAAAAAAAAAATGTTGAATTCTGTTATTAATTTCTTCACAAATAAAACAACGAGAGAGAGAAAAAAGAGTACTCACCTACTGTAGCAGAGTGGAAGGTAGTGCTTCCATCTTTCACATTTCTACTTCCAGTAATAATGGTAGTCTTCCTATCATCTCCCAAAAACATAATGTTAGTTTTCTTCTTAGGCACCTCCACATTTTCCCTATACACCCCAGCTTTAATCCTAATTACATATCTCTTACTACTCTTCTCCGGCGCTGCCGCCACCGCCGCCTCCACCGTCTTATAATCCCCACTCCCATCTGCCGCCACCACCACATCCGGCGTCACCGCCGTACTCTGCAACAACCGCCTATCCCCGGCGGACAACCACTCCGGCCACTCTCTCTCCTCCACCTCCTTCAATTTCCTCCCAGTCAATCTCACCTCATTCGCAATGTCCGAATCAGTCATGTTTTTTATCATCGCTAAAGCATTGCTACACATCTTCTCCACGTGATTTTCACCTTCCTCCAACACCTTCCTGACGCGCTTGTCCGCTCCGTCGTGCGAGAAACCGTCGAGGCACGTCTCCTGATTCGTCATGGCTGCGCTCATTAGGGTTTTGAGATCGTCGGCGTGTTGTGAGAGAGATTTTTTGTTCGGATACATATTGAGATCTAGCTCGACTTTCCGGAGCTCGTCGAGCGTGTCGTCGATCGTCTCGAGACAGTCGTGGAGAGCGGTTTTTTCTCTCCCCGTCAAGCTATTCTTCCTCTTCTTCTCGAGCTTTTCCACTATGAAGTAATTGCGTTCCACGGCGGTGATTGTGATGTTCAGAGACATCATAATCACGTCTTTCTGGTTGGTGACTTTTTGGCTAAGTCCCGGAACACTGGCTATGGCGGAGAAGCATAGATCGGGGTAGAATGTGCTGCTACATGAGGATTTGATAATGGCGTGGTTTGCAGAGGATTCGATTGTGTTGTTTTTGTGAGAGGTGACTCCGGCGACAATGCCGATTACGGCGGCAATGAGCAGGAGAGAAGATAAGAGGACTAAGAAGAGCTTTTTTTTGCGACTGGAGATGGAAATGTGCTTGCCGGAATCTGACATTCCGACGAAGAAGTATTTGATTTGGCTCATGGCTTGGGGTTTTGGTTTGGGAGGAGGTGTGTGGACAAGGGTTTTTATCGGTGACTTGAGGGAGTGTTTGGTCTTTTAATCGTTCAATTTTTTAATTGCATAATAAATGCCATGTGAATCATAAGGCGGAGTGCTTTTCTTTTTGGAAAATTCCAATTCAGGTTAAATTTTTAAAAATAATTATAGATAAGTGATAAATTTTATAATTATTAATTATTAAAATTATAATCTTTATTATAAATAAGTGATAAATTTTATAATTATTAATTATTAAAACTATAATCTTTATTATAAAATTGTAATAATTTTTTAAAAGTACAACACGTAATTTCTCTTTTCTTTTTTTGAAAAATGTTTTTTATCTTTATTTTTAATGTGACCCTTAACATTATTTTATATTGTATTTCGAATATCTGGCACAAGCATAACTTTTATTGTTGATGCGTTTTTAATTTTTACTTTTTATTTATTAATTCTTAATTAGAAAAATTAGTTCTAAACATACTGTAGGAATGTTTTGGGAAGATAGTTAAAAGTTAATTTTTTGACTTTTTTTATTTTTATTTTTTTGTAAGAGAGAAAGTGGGTTAAAAATCAGGAAGTAACTTTTAACCCACTTTTCAAAATACCCCCGGTTTTATAATAAAAAATCATTTTAAGTCTTCATTTATGAAGTAGGTTGACTTTTTGGCTTTTTAATTATTTTAACCTGAGGTTAAAAAGTCTCGATTGAGAAAAACTTTTTGATTTTTTTTTGACTTTATAAGAGAAAAATGAAATGATTATAGTTTAGATGCGATATTTTGTTTTATTCACTTTTAACTTAGGGGTTGTTTGGGGTGTCCTAAATAAGTGCACTTTTTGTCTTTTTGGACTAAAAAATTGAGGAAAAAATATGGATGTGTAGGTTAACTTTTTGAATTTTTATGAAAAAATATGTATTAAAAAATTGTAAATATTGGTTTGTAGAGAAAAATTAGGATTGAGAGTTGTTCAGCCGTAATTATTGACTTTTGGTGAATATTATTAGCTTTTTGACTTTTTATTATCTTTCCAAACTTGATCTTATTTTATCTTTTTGTGGTGCCAAGCATAGCCTAAGTGATAACAAAAAAATATAACTATGAGTCATAATCAACACTGCAATAATACATAATTTCTATATCATACTTCATACTTGGCACAATAAAAATTATCACTTCATAAAATAATTACTATGATTTTGTGACATAGTAGCATCACAATAATGCCTAACTAGCATATAATAAACACCCAACATTACCCACATCTCTTCCATATGAGATAAAAATGCATATGATGTATCTATATAAGCAAGTAATTGTTTGTTTATTTGGAATAAATATTGGATATACATGATTGTCTTTGTATTATTAAGGAGTTGTTTGGGATATCTTAAAAAAGTGTATTTTTTGACTTTTTAAACTAAAATGTTGAGAAAAAAAATATGATTGTTTGGGTTAACTTTTTGCCTTTTTATAGAAAAATGTATATTAAAAAATTGTATAAATTAGTGTGCAAGTGGAAATTAAGATTGGGAGTTGTGCAGCCGTAATTTTTGACTTTTAGTGAATAGTGATAACTTTTTAACTTTTTAAGGGTTGGTTTGGCATAACCTATATAATCTATCTTTTTATCTTTTTATCTTTTTTCCATCACATCACCTCTCTACTTTTCTGCACATCTTTTCGTAAAAAGACAAAAGTGCACTTTTTTAGGACACCCCAAACCAACCCTAAGTAACTTTTTGACTTTTTAACTTTTTGATAACTTACCAAACTTGACCTAACTGGCAAATTTTTTTTGTTGTATGAATGAGACATCAGGGATATTCAGTTAACCTCATTTTTGTAATATTTTATTAACTATTGACATTACGTAAGATAATAAATTTTAAATTTTTATTGAAATTTAATTAATAAATGGTCTTCCATTTTTTACGACAAACATTTCACAAAGTTTTCTAAGGCTTCGTTTGGGAAGCCATGGTTTGGACTTTTTTGGCTATTTCAGTCACAAAAAACAAAATAGGTTATTTTAGCCATAACAAACAAAACATCATATCTAACCCATAATCATTACATTCTTCTCTCACAAAAAAACTCAAAAAAGTCAAAAAGTCCTTCCCAAACCAAGCTTTTAAACCCAGGCTAAAATAGCCAAAAAAGCCAAAAAGCCAACCCACTTCCCAAACGGAGGCTAAGTTTCTTATTAGCAAACAACACCTCGCAAATTAAAACCAAACCTAACAATTATTTCTTTTGTTTTTTAATTCATTGATTTGTTATTTTATTTAGTAGACATAATTTTTGAATGACAGCACGTGACCGAGGTGGCATGAAGTGTCAGCCGAGGTGCCACGTGTCCTGGTCACAAAGCTGAGGTAATCTTGGCTAGGCCGAGGTTATCTGCGAGAATACCGGAATTCGGAATAAGCAGATAAGGGATAAGAGCCCTAGATTGGGAGAGGACTTTAATTTGGATAAAGATGAGACTCTTAGAGAGTTTATCACAATCCTGCTGGGAGTCCAATATTAGCAGTAATCCAAAGTCCATCGAAGTTAGGCTTCTATTGGGATTAAGTTTGTGTTGATTATAAAAGAGAGGCAACCCCATGGGTCTAAGGTACGCTTTTTATATTTCTAAATAGTGAGTTAAGTACTTTTGCTGTCTTTAAGAGATAACTGACTTGATCGTCAGAATGCCCCCGGGTGGACGAACCACCGCCGGAATCTCTTCTTTCTCTGACAGGTCGTTTAGGCTTAATCTATTCTGCCGGTGCTCTCCAGCTAAGTACTAGTTTGGCAGTGTGGTCAAAAATCGACTCACACAATTTGGCGCCGTCTGTGGGAAAGAAATGAGAATAGATAGCTAATACCGGACAGAAAAAGAAAATTGAGAACGACACTCCTACTGGGAGTGAGAAACTTATTGACCTTGACATCGAAGAAGACAACTGCAACAAAGAGACTCGTGATAAGAATCACGGAGAGAAGGACGTCGGCCAAGAGGGTGACGTACCAAAGAAATCAGACTGAGGCGGGTATTATAACGAAGGCGACCTCCAGGTATGGAAAGATAGATGCCTGCGGAGGGACGACGAGATGAAGGAACTGACAAACAAATTAGCGGACCTACAATTGGTCGTCAATTTCATGATGCAAAACAACTTTATGCAACCACTGTTTCCGTTACAAGATACGCCGATTCCAGCGGCCAAAAAAGATGCCCAGACAGGGGGGCAGAGGACGATTCCTGCGACTCCGCAGCACGATAGAACTAAGAAACACTCTCACCGGCCTTCAAGGGAGGTCGGGCGAGGAGAATCAAGAAGAGGAGATTCACGGAGGACGCATCACACTAAGGAAGCCGATCCCAAAGAACATTGGCATGTTCAAGGGAAAGAACTGTGTTGCGACGTAACTAATGGAGAAAGGTCCAAAAGGACTCATAACGATACTGGGAGTTGCGCACCGAAAGGTTGAAATCCATTGATAGCCGAGCTCCTAGATGAACAAAGGAGGACTTGAGGGATTACCTCCAGAGGAAGCCACCAAAAAGGCTGAAATCCGTTGATAGCCGAGCTCCAGGACGGACCAAGGAGGATCTGAGGAGTTACTTCTGGAGGAAACAACAAGATGCGGAGGTAACCTCGCCGGTCAAGCCTGTTCTCGGTGGAGTTGGAAAAATTTGAGGCCCCAAAAAGGTTCAAGATGTCGAGGTTATAGATATACGACGGTATGTTAGTCCCTAACTTTCACGTCGGCTTATACCTGAACTCGATGGCATTGTACACTAGGAACGACCCGTTGCTCTGCAAGGTGTTTCCCTCATTCTTCGAGGAAATTGCATCAGATTGGTTTCACAAGTTGCCAAAAGGAACTGTGAAAACCTGCGAAGGCCTGGCCGAGATGTTTGTAGCCAGGTTCGTGACAAACAAACTACAGCCATTAAGAGTGGCCGCTCTGATGGCTCTAAGAATTGGTGAGGATGAAAGCCTTAGAGCCTATGCCGAAAGATATTACAAGGTATTCAACCGAATACCAGGATGTAACCAAGAGGTGGCGGTCGTATCTTTTAAGAACGGCTTGAAGGATGATTGCTTGCTGCGAAAGTCATTGGCAAAGACATTGCCAAAAAGTATGGTGGAATTTATGGTCAGGATAGAAAAATATGTCAGGGCCGAGGAGGGCACGCAGAGAATAAAGGCATCAAAACAAGAGAAGAAAAACGGCTTGCCGAAGCGAGGCCGAGGTGATAGAGGATACAACAAGCAAAAGACAAGACTAAGGGCCACACAAGCAGTCACTACAGTATTCCGGATTCTGATCTACCAAGTCCTAGAGAGGATCAGAAACCAACCATATTATAGGGCACCAGAGAAGGCTCCTGGCGAGTTTATGGGACGAAGCCTGGGAAAGCACTGTGCCTGGCATAATGAGAATGGGCATCTGACTCAGGGGTGCAGGGCCCTAAAGGCACATCTAGAAGACCTGGTAAGACAAGGTCATCTAAGGCACCTAGTAGATGAGACCAGGACAATAGAAGAGTAAGCAAGACTGCCTTATGCACCAACAACATCGCCACCTCCAGCACCGTAACCGCAAGGAGACAGACCTCAAGTGAATCTCGAAGGTCAATGAGAACGAAATCCGTGGGGAGACCTAGAGGGTAAAGCAGTTGCAGCATGTGTACCAGGTCCGCCAGAAAAGACCTAGGGTAGACAAATGCTAGGGATCAGTGGTGTCCTTTACAGAAGATGATCTGGAGATGGTACAACATCCACACAACGATGCCTTGGTAGTATCCCTCCAGATTGGAGAATGCTAAGTGAAACGCATCTTAATCAACCAGGACAACTCTTGTGACGTTATGTATGTCAGATGTTACAAAGAGCTTGGCCTTCATCAAGACGATCTGGAGCAATCCAATGGTCCTATGGTCGGGTTCAATGGAACACCGACATGGCCATTGGAAGCAGT